TTCTCACAGTCCCTGCGTTGGCCTTCCAAAAACTCACAGAAGTTCACAGAAGGATCATAGAACTCACAGAGTTCACAGAAGGATCTGCACTACTGCAAAGAAGACTTCACTAATGAGATGCTGCCCAGACCAGTGTGGGTCAAGCCTCTCTCCCAGATCTTCCAGCTCCAAGGATCCCTTGAAGTTTGAGGCAGATGTGGTATACCAGATCCCAAGAGAAAGTCCATACAAAGCCTCCAGGCACTCAATAAGCTCTGACTCCCATTCCTCATTTCCAGTTCCACTATAATGAGAGAGGATCTGTTTTTCCTTTACTCACCTTTTCCTTTGCCATCTTCTCTCTCAGCCACAAGCTGAAGGCTGTGTAACCTTGGGAATCTCCAGTAGCACCCACACTCCAGATCAAGGCAAATATAAACCAGGGTTCAATCAGTTCGTTGATACGAGCTATCTTCTCCTGGGGAATCGTCCTAATTCCCTGAGAACCGGAGAAGAACAGAAGTAAAATTCTCAGGCACGGTTAAGGTACACAAACCCAAGACTCCTCTTAAAGTGCTTGTAATTCTTTCAGCTTCTATGTAAGTTTTTCTAGCCAGTTTTTCATGGGCCTTGTTAATGTATTCTGTGGATTAAAACTTGCTGTTTCATTAGTGTACTTGAGAGACTCCCCTTGCTGAACTAATGTCACTCAACAGGAGCTGGGAGTAGAATTTAGTCTTTGGGTTTTAATTTGAAAATCGTCCAGCCTTCTTCAACACTAATTCGCCAAAGATCTGCAGTCTGAGTGCATCACTGCTTAGCTCTGATCTCTGCTTTCCACTCCTTCTCCAGTTCTCTCTGCTATAAATAAAAGTGAACCTCTTCCTTCCAGCCTGGTACTCATGGAGCTTATCTTTTGCTCTTTCAGTGGGCAAAGCGTAATCCTTCCAGGTTTACCTGTGTTTTGCAGGATGTTGTATTACCTTCTGCCACGTAGATGAGCTACAGCATGACCTTTCTGCACCAACACCTCATTCTCTGGTGTCTAACTCTCTGCATGACATGATGCCCTTAAGAGTTACAGGCATAATATGGTGATAGAGGTAGCAAAGTCCTACCTCAATGGGAATGAAAGGCTGAAACAAACATTCCAAGAGCATGAGGAGGCTCCTTGTGAGGTTACTGTCTGTTGAGGCAACTGCCTCCTTCACAAACCTCCGGACAAAGCCAATGGCTTCCTGTAAGGAGAGACAGGAACAGCTCGGTGTCATCATTCAACACATCTGACTTTGCTTTTACCTTCTTAGGTTGCTGGTTTCTCCTCACCTGGCTGCAGGCTACATTTAACAGGGAAGGTATGACTGAGAACACTGCCATTTCCCACCATGTCCCAAGTGCCACTGTTTTGACTGCAGAGAAGCAAGTCAAACCCCTTCAGTTCAGTCTTAACCCCAAGAAACCTCTGGGCCTGCCTGTTGGTTCTGTGCAACAATGATGTGCATCTTGTGCCATTGCTGCTGTTAAATCATCTGCTCTCTTCAGAGCTTTCCTTTGCAGCTCCATGTTATTCCATAAGATAGGAGCAGAGTAGAAATAACAAGACTTGTTCTTAGAACTTTCTCCCTGTACTTCTTATAACTTCACTGTAAGCAATGGTGCTGCACCACTGATGATTCTGCCCAGGAGATAATTTTACAATTAAATAAACTGTAAAATTATTTATTTTACAATTATTTTATAATTATTTATTGTACAATTTAAATAAAACAAACTATAATGACCAAAAAGACTAAGTCACATCTATAGGGATCAGCAAATAATCCATATTAAACTCGGGAAATTTACATACCAGTTTGTATACTGGTAGTCTGAAGTGTTCCCATAATGGTATTTAAATGCAGGCCTTGACAAGTCTGGGCTGGTTGATATCTGAGCTGACAAGCTTCAAGCCATGGAAAGGCTGGAACAGCATGGTAGCTCACCTTGAGGAATCTCTTGAAGAGAGATGATAGCTGCTGTGAAAAAGGCTTCATGATGCCTGGGAGTTTTTGCAGCCAGCAGCCAATGAAGGGCTCCAGCCCCAAGATGCTGGGTTCAAGGTAAACCATGCCACAGCGGGACACTGTAGCAGGGGAAGCAACAGCCAGATCCTGGACTTCAAACATCATGGTCATACTCTGGAAATTGCAAAAGGAAAGAAAGAAGGATAAGGACTTGATCACTTCTGATATATGTTTCAGCATAATTTAGCAAAGATGAAATCTTTTCCTTTGTTGCAGAGGCCCTTTTTTTGTTGTGTTTGTGCAGCACAGCAGAAGTCTGGCCAGCTCAGGGCTACTACTGAGACACCAATTTCATACAAGTCCATCACAGACATCAAGTGGAAAGTAAAAGGCAAGTCTTTTCCAAGAGAGGGGAAAGAAAACAGACAACAGGCAGCAAAAGCATGAGGGATGAGTTACCTCTGACAGCTTGATGATTTCCCCTGAGCTGAGACACAACTTCTTATTGTCATCTAGCACTGTGTTCATGTTCTCAATCCACAGAGCATCAACTGGCCCATCAAACATGTACCACTTCTTGATAGTGTCAATGTCTGCAGCTCCCCGCCGGATGAGCGAGGAAAGGATCCCATCTGTCCTGAAAGGTGGGAGGAAGGCAGGGCTTGGCCCATTCTGGTTTTGCTGAAACCAATGGCAAAGCTTCCACCATCTAAGGCAACAGAGCCAGAATCTTACCGTTTTGCGTGCCCAAGGATACCTGTGCCTCACTTGATGAACTGCATAAAGGTTCATCTCGTTATTTCTTTTACTGAGACATACATCTCAGTCTGAGTGACACCATGAAACAATTTCTATGGGCATTAGGATCTGTACTTCATGTCATCTAATTGTAAAATGCCAAGTTTCCCTTTAACATCTCTGCCCTCAGTGAAAAGCAAAGAGACCTTGCTAGCATCCATTTCAGGTCATAGGTGGCTTATTAGCTCTCTGTGTGTCTTTTTCTCCACCAAGAGAGACTCAGGACAGCTACTCTGCTAATTCACATGCTTCAGCTGGGCAACTACAGGTTATGAGGATGAACCCAGGCTCAAGAGCATGACTCTACCCTCTCTATAACTGAAGTTCCCCATCCTCAGCATCCATCACCAGGTGGTGCTGGAGCTGGTGAACAGGAGAGCAGACACAAGGAATGCTGGCTGTTGGCAGCAAGAACTTAATCTGTACATGGAAACCTGGACTGCAATTTCCATTCAGGCCCTGGACTCTACTCTCACTATTAATTATTTGCTATTTTTATAGTGCTTGTCAATTCCGGGGTATGGTTACTGGGATCAAGGGAAAACAGTCTGTTCAAAAGCTCAGCTGATTAAAACAGACGGATTTGTCTGTTTTACATGGCTGCTGTATTTTTCTTTTTGTCATGTTGACATGTCTTTGTGCTGCACTTGGGTAGAGTCATATCATAAATAAACTGTTGAGCTTAACGAGAACATCCTATAGACTGTCCTTCAGTAAAGATGTACCAGAGCCCAGGGTGGGAAGCTCTGGGTCTCAGCATCAGCAGTGCTTACTTACCTGCACTTTTCCTAGAGGTAGTTAGTTTCACATTTATTTAGTTTTCCCTGTTTCACAGAACAGAGTCTTTAGCTTTGCCCCTAAGCAAGCGGTGGGTAACAGGGCTAAAGAGAGATTCACACTGCTTCCCCCACCTTAGCTTCTGGATAAAGAGAGATGCAAATTCAACCTGAGGTCACATATGGAAACACAAGCAGTAAAACCTGGCTGTCAAGAGGGCAAAAAGGCTATTGGTTCTCGCTTCCAAAGCGTGTAAGCAAGCAGGAGCCCTAGTAACAGCAATGAAATGTCTCTTTATGTCTGAAAGTCATTCCTCTTCATCCAAGGCCACCAGTGTATTTATACAGAACAATTCAACTGCTTTTTTCAGAAGCAAAGCAAGTGGTTTTAAGCTGCTGCATCTTAGAGTAGGGGCATGTGCTCCAAAGCAATTGAATTATTCCTTGTTATGCAGTTAATGCTGCGAGCTGAGATGCAGTAACTGTCTGAGCATGTGCTGGCAGCTGAGCCAAGCACATAATAGAAGATGTCAGATTAAATAGCTCTGACTGGCCATTGTGGCTTGGTGAGGATAAGGACTTGATTGCTCCTGGTTTCATGCCACTACCCTAAACAGTTCTCAGCCTTGAAGAGAAGATGCTCAAGACAAGAAGAAAACTGTTTCCAGTCTGGAAAGAAGGAAAGCAGGTTTTGTACTTTACCACTCATGCGTTAACAAGTTGAACTCTCCATAAAGCTGGCCCATTGTGATGGATTTGGGATTCAGTACAAAGTATCTGACTGCCTCGTAATTCTCACCACTTGCTGCAGGCTGACCTTTCAGTGATGTCATTGCAGCTGCCAGGACTTGGTAACTCTGCAAAAGCAGGAGAGCAAGAGATTTAACTGCCATGGCTCCACTTGCTCTCACAGGAATTGCATTCAAAAAGCAGTGAAAAACGAGATATAGTGAAGGAGATGCATAGCTGTATTCACCCAAAGCAAGCATTCTAGATGCAGGGGGGAAGAAGTTAGATCTCCTGTCCAAGGGGCCTGAAGCATCTCAAGATGTCAAAGTATATCTCAGCCTTAGAAATCTGCAGCAGAGCTAATAAGCCTCAGTCTAATCTCCCAACTTGAAAGAGTGAGCTAGTAATATACTTCCCCATGGCTATAAATCAATACCAAAAGGCAGTGTCTTGGTGCCCTGACTTTTATCTGAGAGAAGGTGGAAATGTTGGAGAGCGAGTCTTCTGTGAAGCTTAACCCTCTGCATCTCTAGGTAGGCGATGGTTTGCTGGTGCCAGCACAGTCTCACAACCATACCTTTGTCTTCCCAGAACCTGTTGGTCCCACCAGCATAAGGCCATGTCGAACCACAGTAGTCTCATAGAGCTGGATGCATTTAGTCACAAAACCTGCAGAGGAAGACAATGTGCAGTGGGTCTGGGACCAGCTGGCTCTTTCCTGGGGCAGGGTGTTGGACTAAAAGCCCAGGCCCACAGAGAGCTTTTGGACAGCCTTTTCCCTCACCATCAGTATCCTTCAGGTTCTCTTTGATGCAGGATTTGCGAATGGCTTCTTCCAGGATGCCATAATCAACAGGCTCTTCTTTGATCTTGGGAAATAAATCTGAGACAATACCACTGAAGAGTCTGAGGTCATCCGTCAGGAATTTGGGTACGTTGGCATCCCTGATAGCCCGCAGGCAGATCAGCTCCTGCAAAGATTTAAGAACTCAGAACTTCAGAGATCTCACCTCTCTCACAAGGCTGCAGAAAAGGCCTAACAGGTCTATGACAATGTGAAGTCTTAGCACATTTACCTCATCCATACTAGGATTCTCTCTTTTTAGGTTGCCAGCTGTTGAGATGACAGTCTTCACAGCTCTCATCCCAAAGTCATAGTGGTCCTGGGAAAGGCACAGAGGAAACAACGTCATCAGATACAGGAGCATTACCTAAAATAGAGTGAACCTATGCATGCACTCAGTTAGCAGTTAAGAAAAGAAAAATGAGCTATGCCTTCAGAACAACTGCTCCCTATCCAAGTGTGCTCTCGGTATCCTTCAAACAACTAACCTGTCCTCAGCTGTTCAGAGTACAAGTGAGGAAGACAAGAATATCTGGATGATAAAAAAATCCTAGATGGAGCGAGAAGTAAGCAGGGCTGCTTGGCTCAAATGTCATGCCATTGTAATTCTAACTAGCACTGAAGCTGAATGCAAGTCCAGCCACAGGATGAAAAATGAGAAGCAGAAAGGAGAGAGGTAGATGAAGAATGGGTACCGTGACCTTTTTGTGATACACAGTCACAAGGCACTGGGAGAACCACCCAGATACTTTGTGCCTAGGCTGAAAATCTCACGTTTAAAAAGAAATTCATGGACATTAAGGCATCTACCTGGGAGCTGAGCTGCTCTGACAATAGTTTGAATGTTGTGGTGATCTTCTTTGCAAGGATTTTGGCTTCATCAAACCCAAAGGAGTAGAGTGAGATCTCGGCAATCATGGAGTAATCTGGGACCATCATAGCCACGGGACGAAAGAGAGCCTGAAACATATAGTTCCAACACAAGATTAACCCACTGTTGTTTCTTGCTTTTTCCAGCAAAGTGAGAAGGCTGAGTATCTATCCCAGACTGTTTAGAGGACACAGCACAAGTGTGCCTGACACCTGTCAGAATAGCATCCCTGCAGACTGCTATCATCTGAGGAGCGTCATTTGCTTACAGATGTGATTCAAATCTCAAAATGATCCTAGAAACTTTCCAAAAGCATCACATCCTAATCTTTGTCATGGACACACCGGAGGTCTGGGTAGCATCCAGCACCTGTACTGCCCCCTCCTCTTTCTCTCTATGCAGTCTGTCCCACTTACCTTCAGGTTATCGGGCAGTTCAGTACGCCCAGCATACCCTGGGTTCATTGTGATGAAGACTGCACAGGATGGGACCAGAGGGATCTCTGTGCCTTCAAACATGAAGCGATCCACCTAGAAAATTAAAAATAGCATCATCCTCAAAGAACAGAGCCTGACCTGAAAATCAAGTAATATAGCAGAATCTCCCAAGAGGAAAACAATGGCTTTCAGTAGTTAAATTATGAAGCACGGACACAGAGAGGTGCCCACAACTGTAGTGACTCAATCTGGTTCCACTGCAGGAATCTAGTATTACCAGCAATATTTTTCCCTGTTTTAAGAAACTAGGCTCATGGAAGATTTACTGATAGGCTATTTTTATTTTTCTCTTGAACAGACTTTTATTCCTCCAGCTGTAAACAAACATCTTTTCATTTATTCTGCAGTAGAGTTTGGACCTGAATTAATTTGTGGCAGAGAGGGCAAAGAGAAACCTAAATCCTTTTTAAAGCTGTGGAGGTAGTAATTTCAGATGGGGGATAAAGTAATGCAGAAGAATTCATGGAGAGCAAGTTTCTAACTCCAAGCCAAAGTAAAGGAGATTCAGGTCTTAACCCCTCTGAGCCTCCAGACAACAAAGCAGAGGCTAGCTGTAATACTGGCTGACAGCTGAGTCTCCATGTAAAGCCAAAAATTCACTTTAAATTGCAACTCTGGGTATGCATAGGTATGCATTTCCCTGCACATATTGGGTTTTGAGAATCTACTAAGGTTTATTAGCACATTTAGACAAATGTGGTGCTGAGCAATTCACGGCAGAACACTGACTGCCTTTATCTCAGCTCCAATTTGTATCAGTGTATCTGTATTGGAGTGTCTCCCATACCAAAGTCTGCTGGCACTGCAGCTCAAGCTGAGATGTACTTCAGCCTGTGAGAGTGTGGGCAACTGTGGTAGCACAGACTAGGGTGCAGTTACAAAACCCACCCAAGGTGCTAACTGTGTAATGGCCTGATATGATGCTCGCTGATGCCTCTCCAAGCTCAAGTATGCCTCAGTCACCCCTAAGCAGTGAAGCTAGTCCGAAGACAAGGACTTGCTAGACTAGCTCAAGTGGAGATTTTTTTGTCTGCCCTTGCATCCACCAGTTCATTACATACCCTCTGCTGCTGTGCTTTCTGAATGGTTGTGATCTGCTGGGCCACGACAGACAGCACCTCGATATCAATGCGGTTGAATTCATCAAAGCAAGCCCAAGCGCCAGAGCTAGGCGAGGAATTTAAAATGAGGGGAGTCAGGAACATCTCACAGGACCAGACTTCCAGTCAAAAGTTCAGGTAGATCTAGAAGTTGTAAATTCACATTCTTGTCTCTGGGGAGGCAGCACAGAGACAAGAAGTGAACCTAAAAGGCCCCTAATGCCTCACAGCAGGCAGTGACACAGCCACAGCGTACTGGTACAGTGAAAGGGTCTTTAGCCCTTCACCCCAAACATGCATCCCAGGCCACGGGTGAATGAGAAGGTGCATGGTACCTGCAAGACCATGGCAATGTCTGCTCCTACAGCCTGGGACAAATTCTGCATGTTAGAGATTAGACTTAAAAGAGGTGTCATGTTGAATTTCTGTTTTGTACCTGAGCAGTAAGTGTAGCAGACAATTTAGACATCTCTTAAGTCCATTTTTCAGAGCTTGGATCACTAGGTATAAAGCTGGAAGCATGTACATGAGGAAGATGGTCTTTCCACAAGGCATGGTTTGTTAAAGAAGTTAAATTACAAAGAAAGCATGTGAGAAGAGTATCAACTTTTGTTGGAATAACACTCAGATTCACCAGTGAATCAACAGACTAATCGGACCAGCTCCGTTTGAAATGCAGAGAAGACAGAAACTTCTCTGAGAGAATCCCTCAGGGTTTAGAGCAGTCTCTCTCGGCTGCTCAATTTTGGATACACTCAGCAGATTCTCTCCTTCTTAAGATTAAGCAGCTTGTGGGCTGAATGTCAGTCCAAGATGTATGATATGAAAACAAAGGCCAGAGCTGCAAACACTTGCATAGGTGGATTAGTGCATAGTGGATTGGTGCAAAGCATTTTAATTTTGCCTTAAATGAACAGGATCTCTTTTTATTCCCCCCGGGTTTGTTTTTTTTTTTTTTTTAATTGACTCATCTGTCACAAAATTCCTGCCAGAAGGGAGAAACTTTGCTCATTCTGGAACACTGTAACCCCCTTACTGGGGCTTTGCTTGTTCTTCTGGGCTGCTGTGAAAAATATCCACCACTTCCCAGTGGCTGGCACCCCGGTACCTGACCCACTCCTCAATAATGACACACAGAATTCCATTGTACCTGGCTAGTCCCTTGAAAAACTTTCCCATTGCCATAAAGTCAAGCTGGTCAGAGCAGTTGAACACTACAGTTTGGATTGCTAGTGCTTTGCCCAGGTCTTTTGTTGTTTCTGTTTTGCCTGTTCCTGCTGGTCCTGCAGGTGCTCCTCCAAATTTCAGGTGCAGAGCTCCTGTAAGCGTCAGGTAACACCTATGACAAAGAAGATACCAGATGATGAAAAGCATTTCTACTACTGATTTCAGTACAGGAGACATACGATCCATGCAGCTGCAGACAAGCAAGAATCCATCCCTTATTACTGGAACTGCTTAGATATACAGCAATCTGCAAAGGAGTTAGCTATGTGGCCTTATTCATCTGGGTCTGAATGGATAAATCCTTCTGTCACTGGCTACAAATTCACTCTCCAGAAAAAGGACAGTTGCAACACAGGTAAAACTGCTGCATATTCTAGGGTATTAGATGTCCCTATCTACCGGTTTGTAGAAGAGCTTCGCTATCAGGAGGGCATTTTATGTGAGATCACGAGGAATACAGTAGAACCAATGCCAGGATGTTCCTGTGCCTTCATCTCAAGTAGTCCTTTACTGTACAAATGGTTTCTATTTACATACATTAAGCATGGTCAATAAGGCTTGTTCATCCAGGAAAAAGATATACTTATTACACAGAAAAGAGTCTCCTTACCTGTCAGTGAGGGGTGTGATAACCAGACGGCCAGTGTTCCCCAGGTACTCATAGCCATAGAGAAATTCAGCATTGACTGCTCTCATGTATAGGTCCCCTCTTGTCCAGTAGTATCTAATGATGAGTGAACATGACATCAGAAAGATAAGACACTGGGTGGCAGACAATACAGCAGCTTGTAAGATTACAGCCTGCAGGTTTAGAGACTTGCATATCAAGGGATTTCCTCCTTGAGAGAAGAAAGGATAAGGTAACACACTAAGGTGGACAGGAGTTCTCACAGGACCTGAAATTAGGTATTATATCAAGCATCGCACTCCTTGGGCAAGAGCATGCCCTTTCACAGTGAGGCTGTGAAACACCATGGTATGGATTAGTCTGTATTGCCAAAGTGGGTGCTATCAAAACTAGGTCTGTCTCAGATGCCTTAGAACTGGCATCCTTAGCAGACTTGAATCCCACTCCTCACAGGGATGTTAGAGGTGATCAGGAATACTGCTTACAGACTACACAAACTCTTGTTCGCATTTGTCACAGACATGGCTGATGGGTAAGGAGAATAAAAACTGGACAGGAAGGCCAGGTAAGGCTCAACAGCTATGCTCTCTACCTGAGCTGGGAGATCCACTCGAAATCATTCATGCTTGTCACGTTCTCCTCAACCATCTTTCCTGCAACATCCTTGGCGTGGACCTCAATCACAATAAGAGCTGACAACACTGCTCGCTGCATCTTGGACAATTTTCCACGGACCAGGGCAACCAAATTGCCCAGCTGGGCAAGGAAAAGAAAGTATTCTGAAGCAATCCATGTCCCAAAGACCCAGGCTGTACTAACACAATGCAAACAAACTTGTGGCATGCTAAGTCCACATCATAGGCTTTGTCCAGGCAACTTCTGTCTCTTCTCTCATCAGAGAGAGGAGGCAGACAACTGCTTAGAAAGGAAATACTGCTCAGGGCTGGCTCAAAGCTGACTTTTGCCTACATGACTACCACATTCAGGTAAAAAGAAAGACGCCCAGAGCTAAGTATCTCCTAGGTATTAAGTGTGATTAGATGCATGGAACAGATAGGAAGGATGCAGTTTCACTCATTTCTATTGTCCATCGTTTCAGTTCTCCTCCACCTTTGATTTCATGGGTGGACATGGAAAAGTTATCTTTGACCTTGTTTTTGTCTTCAGGTAATGATCATATTTGTCAGTCCTACACATTATTTGAGGTTTATGATGACAAACATCTTAATGATTAAGACAATAAAAACCTGTGGGGTTTTACCTGTTTTTGAGCTCTGCTATGCAGAACTGTGTCTGTTTCTCCTATGGTATTGTCCTGGTTATATTTATAAGTTATCTAAGGTTTAATGATTGAAAAGTCTCCATCTGCCAAAATCTCACCCTTACATTCACTTTCATACCCGAGTACTCAGCTGTGGGAAAAGCCTGCTGGCCAAATCTCCAGCTTCCAGAGCTTCAGACATTTCCTTTGTCCAGAAAATCTGAGAGCCAGCAATGACCACTTGCCCAGGCCATTGCAATACCCATGTAGTATGTGGAGTCTTAAAAAGAAAGAAAGAACAAAACAAAACAAACAAACAAACAAACAAAAAGAGGTGGTCACACAATAAGAACTGAGTTCTTGTTTAAGAAGCTTTACTTTTTTTTTTTTAACCTCCAGTTGCTGTGAAGAAATCTTCAGGCACAGGCTCTCCAGCACTGGGTACTGCAGGTACCTTCTCTCCACTATGCTACCGGCAGTTAAGTAACCAGTTACAAGTGGCCAGCAGCAGGTGAAGAAAAGGAATCTGGGAGACCCAAGAGAATATTTCCCTTCCTCTCACCTGTTCCAACTTTTCTAGATTTAAATTTTCAGACAGAGAAGAAAACGATAACAGAAATATCTGAGGCCTTTTCATTTTTCAGCCTTTCTCTCTCCATAGACCCAAACAAATGAAAATTTAGATTTTCTACAAGCCAAGCTTTTACACAGAAATCAGAGCCAAGCTGCGTCCCCTGTGCATGGCCTGAACAATCTGTGTGTCTTGGTTACTTTTACCAGTCCCTAGCACACTGTGTGAGACAGGAGAGCTGCAGGAGAAGATCCTTATAAAAAGGAAGTTGCCTGGAGAGAGGAATAGATATGGATTCATACACGGCTGTTCTATGATATTGGGAAGTGTTCTGTGGCTGTTGAGTGAGTGTGCAGAGTTTGCATTCTTTTGGCCCATTAGCTGCTTGCTCAGCTTCACATTCTGCACTTGACTCACACACAACTGGATTAAAGGTTGTATTTTAAAACTAATAGAATATCACAAATTCACCAGCCCCATCATTGGTGGCCTCTATGGCAAGCCTGGAACCAAGACATCAGAGACCTTCCTGTCTGGGATAAAACTCGCACCTCTGGATAAACACCAATTGATCTTTCTATGTTGTCCCGTACACTGGCCTTCATGGTTTTCTCCACTTCCAGCAGCCAGTCCTCTACATTTTCAGTGGGATAGATGGGAACAAACAGCTCCACCTCTTCTCCTTCAGCAGAGTGCATATGTGTAATCTGAAGGTCCTCCTGGAACAGTAGCTAATGGAAGAAATGCAACAAGAGGTGTGAATGGAGGATTTCCTTTCTATCCCTGCCTTCCTGCCACTGAGGGACACCCAGGCTGCAGCAGTGTATGCTCACTATAAATGTGGTGCCAAACCTGTCTGTCAGTAGCGATAATAAAGTGTGTGACAGATGTGCAAAATGACCTCTCCAAAAACCAGAGAATGTTTGTATGAAAACAAGAGATTTACATCACTGGTTTTAACTTGAGTGAAGCAAATAAAATTATAGGCAAGATGAACATTTCTCATTGCCTGTCTAGGATTCAAACCCTTGATTCCTGTTCATTCCTGTAGATTCAAATAATTTCCCTTGAGGTCACAGTGCCTGGTTTTAAGAGTAAAATTTTAACAGTTTCTCCAGTGCTCCCACATATCACCGCAAGTTCCATTATTTATTCCAGTGTTTTTGCACCAGGTTTCCAGTTCAATTTCCTTTCTATTTTTCCAAGCTAATGACTAGGAGATTGGTTTTAGTGTCTGAGTATTGTGGTGGTGCGAGCTGTGCCTCGCTGTGGAGTCTGAGGTCTATGAGGAATAATAAAGGGGAAAAATAGCTGGCTTAACCCCAGCTCCTAAGTAGGAATGAGGGCAGAAACTTAATTCAGTTCAGGCTTGTTCACTCTTTGTCCCTTCTGAAGGTGACAGCGAAAGTGGAATTCCATCCTAACTAGGTGTCTGTGAGTAGACAGCAAAGTCTGAGCTATTTCCCTTGGCTTCCATGGTGGATGGAGAGACATCTCCAGAAGGAGTGCCCCTTCCTCCTAAGATGGGCATCTAAGTGAATGTCTCTAAATTGCCCTTTGCAGATGTCTATTCCCACCCCCCCAGTTGTCTGAAGGGCAGTTGAGGGTGCCCAGTTCATGGGCAGACATCTGGCTTCGAAATGTCTAAAGTGAGCTTGCTTGAATCCCAATCCAAGGCAGGCAACACAATGCCTATGTACAGTTAGAGATGGAGATATATTTCCACACAGCAAGAACATGAACACTCCTCCAGACCTCAGAACACTTCCAAGTTCGCATGACATCAGCTTGGGAAAAGCCACTGGCGGGCTTGCTTTGCCTACCTGTGCAATGTTCTCAAAGCACTTGCGGAGGTGAGGTTGTACAGCAGTGGGGTCTTTTGTCTGAGACAGTATTTCCAGCAGCTCATCGTCTGAAAGGAAGTAGAACCTAGAAACACAGAGTGAGGCATGGGGGGAGGCTATTTTTACTGTAGAGTCAGGTTCTAAGTCCTGGCAAGATGAAGAACAAGCCTATTGCCGGAGACACTGTTTCTGACTGCTCACTGATCTCTTAGTTTTGTGTAGGAGAGTAGCAGCCACAGTCCAGCCACCTACCTTTCTGTAGAGACAGACTTCTCCATCTGCAGTCAGCTATTCCCACGCAAAGTGGGTTTAAATGAGTATCAAAGAATAGCATTCCTTCATTTCTCCCCATCCTTTCTAGACAAATCGTGAGGCACAGATATGCAACCATGAACTCCCAACGTTTGTGTCTCCCTGTTTTCTCCCCATCAGATGGCAGCACTGAAAGGCACAGCCTTGCTCATGTTTGCAGTCTCATTACAATGTCCTAAAGCTTAGATTGTTTTGCTCTTCCTTGGCGGAGAGAACTGCAGTGAGCCTCTCCTTACACATTTTCTGAACTAGGGAGTGTGATCCAGTCCACTGACATTTTAAGTTACCTGGGAAAAGCACGTCTCTTCGTCTCCAGATATTCACTCAGCCCTTTCTGCACCAGTTCCAGTAGCTGGTTACATTTTTGCAGCTTCTCTAGTAGCACAGGATCAGGGCACAAAGAAATTACCTATAGACAGAATGGAGAACAGAGGAAGCATCAGTATTCTGAGCATGTGGGAGATCAGGCAATGGAGATAATTGCGTTGCCCAGTGATGTTACTGATAGGATTTAAATGACTCATTCACAGGAGTACTTTCACAGGGATCTGGAGAAGTGTGAGCTTTGTGGGCAAGGAAGGGAAACAGCACTTATGGATGTGACAAGCACATTTCTGGGTTCTCCTAAATACCAACATTTGTAATATGGAATACAAGTGGTGGTGGAGTCCTGGGAAGTGAAGACTGGAGAACAGAAGAGTGCAGAGCACTGCTACCAGGACACAGAAATGGGTGAAAACAATGGCTCTAAATTTAAAGATCAGTCTTGAGAAGGAATCAAATGAGACATATCTTACACATTATGATTATAGCAGGGCTGGTTATAAGAGTTGTAGAAGGCAGGGAGTATGTGCTGAGGCAAAGGTATCTGGTGTGGTGGACAGCTTGGTGCTAGACATCACTCCCTGTTTGGACACCAGAAATAAAAGCCAAGTTCCAAGAGTTAGAAACCTAGCATACTGCCCTGGACAAGGCTTCATGGTTTAAACAGTGCTCCTTATGCCCACACCATTACTAAAGCAATTCAAAGGCAGTCCTTGTGTGAGCACAGCTCCAAGGAGTTTGCGATACCTGCACTGGCTTTTGACAAGGCACATACCTCAAGGTTTTCATTAGCACTCTTCATGATGTCCCTCCAGTCCTTATCCACTTCCTGGTAGCGCTGGCTTTCCAATGGGAGCTGTCTTTTGATGTCCTCTGAACTAAAGATTGGCTCCAAGTAGAGCCAAGAGAGCTGGCAGTTCAGCCATTCCTCTAGGACATCCTAGTGGGAAGCAAGAAGAGTGGCTTATCAGGACACCATGCTAGGAACCTGTAGACTAAATCGTGCAGAACGCACACCAGAATGGGTCTGAAAAAAGCCACAACACCCGCTAGTTTAGTGGAGGTAGTTTGGACATGTGTAAGCCAGTATTAACACTCAAGGGGACTTTTTGGTGCTAGCTCAGACTTCTGTGGCTAGTGTTTTTGTATTTTACGGAAAATAGCACAATGTAATCACACAGTAAGATGGGGATTGTATTTTGTGAAAAGAGCTTTTTGGGGAAGAAAAATGACAATAAAATATGACGGAGTTGCAGATGCAGAATCCTCTCTCCTGCCTGATGTACCTCAGCCCCAGCCTTGCCTACGGAATAACCCATTAAATGATCTTTAAACAACACTCTGAATTAAGAGAATGAATGAAAAGCTGAACATTCAAGTTAGACACCAGACAGGAAAGCCTGTTTGTTAGGCAAGGAGCAAGAGAATTAGGTTGGAAAAACAACTTCCTCCATTTTAAGGCATAGGAGATTGGAAGGTATGGGGAACCTGCCCAACACCACAAAGCAGCTCAAGTGTTTGTCTCCCTTTCAGACTTCCTTAGTCACGGGGCACTATCTCCCACTCCCTGAGCAGAGGCAAGCAACCTGGCTTAGCAAGAGGTGGGGTTCACCAGTAATATAGGCAATGGTGTTTGCTGTACTCCATCAGCTAACCCTGATAAGCCACTTCCCAGAAGTGGATTCATGGCCCTTTAGTGACAGGAATGAATGCGATCAAAAGAAAGGGTAGGAAAGGCAGGGTGTAAACATGGACAACATCACAGCCAAAAACCACACAGCAACTAACTGAATTTCCCCCCCGTCACCTACTGCCTTAGGTCTTAAAATAGCATTTCTGTATCTTCAAGAGACAAGGCAGCCCATGGCCCAAGCATATCCAGATGGTAAGCACCAATAAACAGAATAAGGTAGTTATGAGTAACAGATAACAGTGCTGCTATGCTTCAAAGACCAGCATTTACACAGAGTTCTTCAGCCAGATACTTGTATTGGAATTTTTCTCCTGCAGCAAGATGCTATTTTGCTGGCTGAGTCCTGCTGGGCGCTCAGCATTCAGGTTCTGGTTTGATGAAGAAGTGCTGGCATGGTGTGAGAGATCCTGCTCTAAGCAGCAGTCTTCCACGTGATTTCCTACACTGAGATGTGAATGCTTAGCATGGATCTCACAGGTCCTACAAGAATCTGCAAGCTCCACTTAAGTATAATATGATTAGAGATGCCAGTAGGACTATTCACAGCAATGGGATAGTCCTGACCCCACCAAAAAGTGTAACAACAGGCAGAAAAAAAGCTGGAATTTCATCACTGCTGTTTGGAGAATAAAGCCGAGTTTATCTCCTCGTTTACTAGAGTCCTCCCTTAAGACTGATTTTTCCTGATAGTCTTCCTCCCAATTCCCCAGCAGCAACTGCAGTGCCCATGTTCAAGCACGGCAGCACAGCCCAGCTGCCTGCCTCTCCTACGTGTGTGCAGGTAAGAAACCAATACCTGTGTAATCTTCAGCTTATTTTCCCATGTGTTCATCCTTTCCTCAAAAGGTTTCTTGAATGGTGAAAAGGACATGCTCTGAACCAAGACAATGTGATCATCTAGGAGCTGAGAAGCTTCATCAGTGTTTTTCAGAATAAAGGTTCCTGTGTCTTTGTAAGGGTCCACAGTAAAAAAAATGGAGTTCCATTCACTCTCCATCTTGTTGAGCGCCTGAAACAGAGGGACAAGAAACTGAAATTTCAGATACAATGTGCAGTGGTTATCCCAGCTTCCAGAACTCTCTTAATGCCCCTCTCTAGCAAGTGACAGACTTTTGCTCTTGGATTCCACTGGAAACTGCATCTGTGTATTTAATGCATGACATACTCAGCAACAGCACATTTCCTCTGCACTGCCCATAGACTCAACACTTCAATGCTTTCCTGAAAGAAACACCTTGAGGGGAAAAAAGGGCAATTTCATCTCCAGGCCCATTTATGCTACTAGATGCACAGAGGCTGCCAGCAAAGTGCCTATTAATGATTATGGTTAATGATAGCTTTGTGAAAGGGGTAGCTATCCATTGGGAACTTGCCTGAGATTTCAGAGAACAAAAGCTGCCAGAAGGTAACGACTTCCAATCAAGACCATCTCAGGTCACACCAGAACTGGTGAACTGAAAGACTAACCTATGAATCTCTAGAGCCAGCAAGTCTTCCCTGTACATTTACTGTGTTAAAGGATTTGCCACCTCCATTTCCAGCCACAGCTAATCTCCCTGATGTAATGTTTGAGTGGCAGAACACAATCAATTTATTTTAACTTAAGCAGTCACTAATCCCATAGTGAGGTGTCAGACCCAACCAGTAGATCATCAGGCAGCACTGTTATGCAACAACTGAAACTCTGTGCAAGGTGAACTCAACTGTGTGACCACTGCTCCCCTTTTGAAACACAGAAGTCTTTTTACTTATGCTGCAGAATGTGTCTCATGCTCTGGGACAACAAGAACATCACCCAAGGCAATGACTACTTGCCCAACAGAAACATATTTGGAAGCAACCAAAGACTCAGCAGTCCCTCTCTCCTCACATTCTCAATGGCGTATTCCTTGCCAGCTGCCTCAGCTACTTTGCTGATGCTCTCGATATAGTCCAGCAGATTCATTTCCAAGCAGCGAGAAACTGTCAGACTGGGATCCAGCTTGATATCCATCTTAATAGATTCTGACAGCATCTCCCAGTGCCGCTCTCTCATACCAGGATTGTGCAGCCCTTGAATTAAGGGGATGTATGGCTTGAATTCATCAATCTTGTCTCGAAACTCCATTGCCACACCCTGGCAGGCTTTCAGGGAGAAAAAGAGAACATCATCAGCAACAACAGTGTGTGAGGAAGTTGCCTTAAGGACGTTCCTAGAAGGTGTCTAAATCCTGATGTGCTTGTAGATACATGGTAGGTAAGCAGCATGGGAGAGCACTGGAAAACGCGGGTTGTGAAGTAATGAGGACACAGAGGTGCTCTCTAAGCACGGCCACTAAGCAAGGATTCAAGCCCACTCCCAGAAGCAGACCTGCTTATTATCCAGAAGTCTGTTATAGGCAAGTTCATACTAAGCAGAACTGTTCCTTAGCCTAGAGCTCACCGGAAGATGAGAAGCAAACAAATTTAATTCCTTAATATGGGCCCCAAGCACGACAAAGTCCCCTCTGCCAATTGATATTTTAGAAGCTCTGGTCATCATTCCAAGATCTTAACTCTCAATGCAAACTTGTTAATAAACTGATCTCACCCCCCCCCTAAATATAAGATGGACACCATATCTCAGAGACAGAAGTAAACTAGGATCAGAGCCAGCTATGGAAATGGAAAGCAGGCAGGAGAGGCTCTGCTAGCCTACAGCCACACTAAAGCCAAAGGTACTTCTGCCTCACAGAAAGGACACAGTCAAGGAAAGGGCTTTGATCTCTGGGGGCATACTGGAAACCCATGTCTGCACTGTTCACATCCTGCCTTTTTTCAGCTTGTGCTATGGTGAGTAAAGCAACGGACAGGCAAAGAGCATGGGACTTGATTCCTTTCCAAAACCTGGCTACAGCATGTGCCTCCTTTTATTGCACCCTGTGTGGTCATGCTGCACACGCATGGTAAGGATGTGACCACCCCACACTCTGTGCTGGGTGGTATGCAAAGAAGCTCATATTTAACCAGGTGCCAGGGAATATTGCAATGAATATGAGCAGGTATTCTTAGTATTTCTGTTTACCATAATGATTCATAGTTACTCACGCATCCACTCATCACCTCCTCCATTGGGGCTGATTCATGGCATTGTTTAAGAGCGAGTTCAAGTTAAAAAGGATGAATCAAAACTCTCCCACTGCAAAATATATTTCAATCTACACCATCTGGCAGGAGATTTTAGAATTAGCTCTAGAGAATGACCAGCATATCTCTGAGAATCATGGAATGGGAAGTTAAGCTACAACTGAAGTCTCCATTCCAGCTTTACTAGAAGGCATGATTAAAAGACCTTCACGTGAATTGCAAGGGCTGGATGTGATCATCTAAATTTCATACACATTCAGGCAGGAAGGAAAACAGTTATTACATTCCACAGATCATTTCCAGATTTTGCAATCTCAATTTATTCATAACAAAATCAAGACCTCTTCTCGCTTTCCATTAAATTCATTGGCCGATAGAGAAAATAAGATTGACCAAGAAAACAGCACCCGGAAGACCCAGATTCAAGTTCCTTTGCTGCCTGACTTGAGTAAGGGCTTAAACCCACATGTCTGGCCAGTGGGCTACATAGTAATTCTCTGTGACTAATCTGGATTCTTTTACTTTATATAAATAAGTAAATATCAACTGCAAAATAAGAGGGTGGCATTTATTTCAGTACTGTCTTGGGAATTGGGTATAAAAGGGATTTGCAGCCTGATTGTTTCCATGCCAAACTGGTACTTCAAGCAGCAAACTAGCATCTAGATGTGAATCATCACAGTTCCAGAAAAAAAGTGGAAAATGACCACTAGCATTTTCTCAACTGGCTCTAATACACACAACACATCCACGTGACATCCTGATGATCTCTGTTCAGAGCACTCTGCAAGATGCCTCACAAGAAATGTTGATATGCCCCAACTTCCTTTCCCCAGACTATGTACCTACCTGGTGAATCCTTGAATTGCCTCACGCATCTCTGCATTATCTTAAAAGAGTCATTGACAATCTTTTCCATCTGTTCAGAATCAATTTCCATGAGAGGATCATTCATCCATTTCTCATGCTGACGCATCCAGTCTGACACTGTTGTCCAGAGGTCATGGTATGGCTGGAAGTCCTTAACCATCCTGGATAGCCCACCATACTTTGGAAAGAGAGAAAAAGCAAGCACAAGCAACAAGTGTATTCTACTCTGGATGACAGCTTGTATGTCAAAAGACAAAAAAAAGGCACAATTCTTTTTTGGATCTCAAGCAAGCAAGGAGGAAATGTGTACTTCAAGAGGTTGTATCATACTACATTCTCCTGGGACCACAATATAGATTCCAGGGAAGAGCAACCAGCAGAGCTGGGCTTCACACAGTCAAGTCAAAATGTATCCAGTGGGGCTGTGCCTGCACCATTTGTCTGGCATGAAAAGCACTCTCCCCACTTGCTTCTACACATGCTCTGCTGCTGAATGAGTTTTTGATGGGCAGTCCACACACAATCAGTGAAATCACACACTGCGCATCATATAGAAACTTGGCTCCTTACAGTGAAGGAGAAGGAACCACAGACTGAGAGGTAAAGAAAAGGACCATGTGAACTCTACTTCTACCATGCAGCCAGCCTGGGCTGAACATAGATGATAATGATTCACTGGCAGCTGAACAGCTATGGGCAAAATGAGTCTTTGCAAGTATGTAAACTGCTACCTTAGGAGAACATGCTGCACTCCGAGCCCAGCCAGCTGCCTGCACAGCACTGTGCAACCACTCTCATTCATGTCTATATAACAGCCTTACAGAAGTTGATGCATCTCAACTGCTGCTTCAAGACCTTCCCCATCCAATTTCTCCTCATTAACATCACTCAGATCTAAGCATGGCCACCCAGTCTCTCATGGTGGCAGTATCAGGCACATAAGCAGCTTTCCACATTTGTCTGGCATCAGATCTTCTGTGACACAGTGGAATGATGGAGCAGTGTGGTCACGCTACACTCTACAGAGCACCTAATCAGACATATCAGATGAGCAGGAAGGATTCCTTCCTGAAGAACTGTCTCAATATTTGCTCTACCACCTAGAAATCCCAACAAAGATTAGAGTCCTGTAGGTACAGGACCTGACACTTACATTAGTAGCTTTGATCCCAAAGATTCTTTCCCTGTTGTTGTAGACAGCTGCCAAATTCTGAAGCTCCTGCAGCTGCTTCCTGACCTCCCTTGCTTTGTTAGCCAACCCATTAGCTTGGCTAGCATCCGCCTGGATGGAAAATCCACCTACAGTCAGCTGGAAGAGAAAAGGCAGGCATGAGATGTGGCTCTGAAGCTGAGTGCTGCCTCTGGAGATCTCAGCTTCCTGGTGTGCTCTTTGTTACATTCAAAGGCAAGATTTTTATGCTCATATTTTCACCTCCCCCAACCCAATCCCACTTCTGTTTAGACCACAATGTCAGCAGCGAGGAGAAGCAATAACCACTGCTCAGGTGGTTGACAGTGCAGATGTGATGACCAGATGCTTTTGTCTTTGTGACAATAGTTAACCCCTGAGGAATAGGAGCAATAAATCTGTGCCCAAATTTCTTGCCACAGCATTTATACTATCATTAGTTACAGAATCAATGAAGTGAAAGTGATAGCTCCACTAGGTCACTGGGTTTGTTTCCAAGAATTGTTTAACAACACATATCCAGAGCTTCTCTAATAACTTTCCTGTTTTGGTGGTTTGGTTTTGCTTGTTTGTTTTGGGGATTTTGTTGTTGGGTTTTTGTTTGCTTCTTTTTTTAAGCCAGTGTTGTGGTATTATCATATTGGGAAGCTATTTCCAAGATAATCTATGTCATTGACTAAAGCCTTTCCAAGACAACTTTTTTTTTCTGGATTTAAGAATTTCTAGTGAAAAAAATAAAAATCAGACTGTTTCAGCAGAAACCAGAGGTCTCTCAGCTCAAAACTGCTGCTGTTTCAGGGTCTTTCACATGAGTTCCCTGACTAAATGCTGTATTTTCCCCCTTGATGGCAGTACATCATGGGAGATGCTCTGCAGGGAACTGATTACACAGGAAAGAAAAAGGAGGTGTATGTGTTGCCTGAGCACCAAGAATTGGAATATTGTATCTTCATGGACACTCCCCCCAGTGAAAAATCAGGATTTCTGCAAATAGTACTGTTCTTTACACAAAAATGAAACTCTTTCTTAATCAAAAGCCCAACTTCCAATAAATAGCAATGGGTGGGTGGGTGTGTGTGTAATAACTTTTGGTCCAACAGTACATTGACCTAAAACCTAATCTGACTTAAATATCATCTGAAAGTTTCCCACCTGGCTGACCACAAGAGCTTCAAGGCCCCTTTCTCTGGACAGTATATTGTCAGGGGCTTATTTACCTCCATCTCTTCCAGTTTGTCTTGAAAGCTGTTTTGATCTATGACATGGTTTTTACGAAATCTGTCTTCATCCTCCTGGTGCTGGTGCCGAACACACTCAGCTTGCCTAGTTATTTTCAGTGGCCAGTAACTTGCAGTCCACCTGCATTCACATGATGTAACAAAACAAACAACAAAACCAGTGAGAGACAGAAAGAGAGAGAGAAAGAAGCTTTTAGAGCATATGTTTGAAATGCTGAAAATAACAGAATGAGAAAGCCAAATCCCACCAAACAAGGAAGCTTTACAACAACAGCAACACATGTGGTTTCAACAAAACATTTTTTCCAGCTTGTCTTGTTGATATGCAGTCCTTGTGACTAGGCTATTCAATTGGAGAGGGCTGGGGAGAAGTGGAGGGCCTTTCTAAAAGGAACAAATCCACTATGTTGCTGAAAAGCTAGGAGACTGCAAAATAACAGTTGGCATCCAGAGGGAATGTCTGGTTTTGAATGTATTTACAAGGAACTGAAAAAAAATGAGGTCACAGTCTTGGCTTATGGCTTTTCAGGGCTACTGAAAAAGCCAGTCTCCTGTTGAGCAGGGCAGTGAGGGGCCAGAGTAATCCAGATACAGTAAAGTCCTGGCTAGCCAGGCTCCTGCATTGTGCCCTGGGAAGTGCAGTACAGATACAGGAAAGGCTGCACAGAGGGCTGCTCATTCCAAGGCAAGCTTCTTGGCTCTCGCTCAGCCACAGCCCACCCATTACTTCAGGGGCTATATGTCTATCAAGGGCTCCAGCATTGCCATTTGGACTTGTTAGCTTGTATGCAATGCCAGATGCAAGCTTTACAGCATTACACTCAAGCTCACAGCCCTTGCAGTGCCTGCGGATGCAGCAATCTCCTACTAATTCTACATGTGCCAGGCCTTGTCAGTGGGCATACAGCTATATCTGTGCTAAGGTGTCCTAGAGGTGAGCTGCTTTCCTGCAGCTTCTGCGGGTTTTTTGCACTGTGTATCCCATGTTTCTAGTTTCAGGAGTACTCTGCAGAAACTCACTCAAGTTGCAGACACACTGGACCAAGTCCATGTCATATCAGAGGTGCTTCCACGGCTGAGCTGACTCTGCTATTGGGGCATAGTATAACATAGCCAAAGATAAAACTAAGAGGAGACTGCATGAGAAAGAAATGCAATAATAAAACAGGGTTCATGTTCCTTCCTAAGTTCTAAGAAAACTCTGGGAGTGTTCATACCTTGGAAGTGTACATTCACTTTCAGACACAGACTAAACTGTGCATTTTGAGACCTAGCAGATGTCTCAAAAAAACCCCCAAAAAACCCAAGAAAAGAAAATATCTTTAATACATTAAACAGGTTAATAGCTACCAGTTTGCCTTGCCCCCTGCCAGAAGGCAGCATGAACCCACACTTCTCTATAAACTTCATTTCAAGAATTCAGTGCTCATATACCCTGAGAGCCACTTAAAAGTTCTGCTGGAGCCCTTGATAGACACATAGCCCCTGAAGCACTAAGAATAGTAATTGCTGCAAAGTGTCCCACTTTGACAATGGGAGAAATGCCTTGTGCTCACTTGTCACTGAAATCTTCTTCAGTAAGGTTGTAAAGGAATTCCTCCATGACCTGGTAATCTTCCATGACTTCACGAATCAGCTCCTGCATAGGGTGAGAGAGACAAAAAATAGACACCTGTAGACCCCATAATGATTCCAACCCTCTTATGTGTACCTCATTTTCATGAGATGCCTTTGAAGAGCTTTAGTCACACAAGCTTAATGTGATGCAGGCTGCTTCTTTGCTGTGTGAACAGTGAGAATGGATTTATAACCCCTTGTTCTGCGAACGATCACACCATCACCACCCTCTGTTCTATACGGATGAAAAGAAGTATGACCTAGTGGATAAAGTGCTGGACAGAAATTGAGTGTTTTGGGTTATCTTCCAGGTTCTTTCCTTGGTATGGGCAAGTGAACTTACAGCTTGAAGCCTTTGTTTCCCATTTGTTCAGCTGGGAGAAGACCTACACATCAAATAAATTTGAAATAGCTCAGCACTAGAATGTCCTATTAGAAGACATATGTTACCAGCAAAATGAGCATTTGGTAGCAGAAGTATTTTCTTGAAAACAACATTAATTTTTAGAAGGCAGCTATTCAATACACAGTGTGGAATGGATCACGAAGGTAGCAAAAAGCACACATAAGTCTTCTAGGCAAGATTTTTAACTGCTAATTTGTTTTGAATAGATGTTTAAATTCATCGTGTGTTATTTAAAAATACAAATCTTAGGAATTACAAAGATACAAAGCCAGAAATCTTATGGCATTGCATGCAAAGACATCCAACAAAAAATTGGAGTTCTGCTTCTGAGACACCACACATTGCATGGACAAATTCCCTCCTTACTTCCCTTGGTGCTCCTTGCCCAGGAGGAGAGCAAGCCATACCTCCTGCACAGCCAGCTGCTCAGGGATGCTCTTCATCCACTCCCGCAGCTCAGTTAGCTCCTCAATATTGTTTGGTTTCTCATGCATTCTGCAGCTAGTGGCTTCATACGTGCTGCAGATCTGCAGGAGGACACAGCAGAGAAAAGACCATCAAAAAGTCATTAACTGCAAGTGGGCAAACTGGAAAATCTGCCATGATCCACCCGGTTCCCATTCTGAAGGTGGTCTAAAGTGATGAGTACACAGCCCTGTTCTGACTTTTTCTTTCCACAGTCTTTCTCTATCCATCTCATTTGGCCTCAAACAAAATGAGGCCAAAAAAGAGGAAGAGGAACCGCAGGTATGTAGTTGAAATGATGACAATAACAGATGTAGGCAACCCTCTAGCAGACGCAATTGTCATAGTCCAGTTATCCTCAAAGCAAGCAGAAGGACCTTGTAGTTGTCTACTAGGCAGACATTTTCAATCCACCAACATGTTTTTATAAGATGGCAAGGTCTTGAAGAATTTTGTCTCAAGAGATACAGCTTTCAGGCACATAATTTATTAAGTATATTTAATATTTTATTTGGTTGAGTCCATATATCTCCCCTCTAGTTGTTTTTTTTTTAAAGTAATCACTTTGATGCAGTCTTTAAAATGTCTTCATTAATGTGGCCTCAGTTGTGGTCTTTTGGCCATTTCACAAACACAGCAACTTCAAAAGCAGGACAAGACAAGACACTGACATATAATCTGTTAAACCAGGTAACTTACATTCTCCACCTGCAAATGAAGGTTTTTAGCCAGTATGTCCAACATGGAAATGGCAAGCGCATTGTATTTTGCAGTCAGATTTTGCTTAACAACTTCTGTGCTGACATGGAAGGGACCAATGACAATAGAAACAGGTAGAGTGTTGTCCAGGTTCTCCTTTTCTGACAAGTACATGTTTACTATATTCACCACCTCCTGGGCAGATGGACATTGCTCTTCATACTCCCTGTAAATAAAACCACCAACAAAAAACAGTAAAGTAGACCTTAAGATTATTTGAGCATCCAGGATCTTCACAGCATGTCCAGACATGTCTACCTAAAGGATCAAGACATTAAATTAATAATATGTTCACTGTTATTAAAACATGCATCTATATTTGAATGTATACAACTTTCTGTAAGCACAGACTGAGACGGTTCCAATGCCTTCTAGACTTCACAACCAAAGATATGCCTACATAGGAAGTGAGGAGTGTTTGTATCACAGTCAAGAACATGAGTACTACCTTTAACAGAGCATGGAAAGCTACAGTAGCAAAGACATCCCCCCCTGTAAAGTCCATCCATTTAGGTGACCAGCCTGCAAGGAATTCAGGCTTTGCTTCAGTGTCTTCACTGCTACAGTTACCAATGCCAAACAGAGGAAGCCAAGCTACCTATGCCTATCTGCACTGCAGCTACACCTATGCAGCAGTGTAGACAGGTCCCCAGTTTCAGAAGATGTGTATACAAGACATGGAACTGGTATGTAGCTGAGGAACACTACTGGGGTACAAGGGAAGGGACAGACTCAAATCTACAACAAGTTTTAAAGCACAATAGGTTTGGAATGGAATAAGAGCACAAAATATTTTAGCTGCTGAAAAGCAGTGGAAGAGGTGAAAAAGGTAGTAAGACGAGGAGAGGGAGAGACAAAATGAAAGCATGGGTATGAACAGGGCAAGATCAGGAGGCATCTTGGTGGAAGGTAGGCACTTCTGTGTGTTCTGGGAAGAGACAGGAATTTGTCAGATGGGACTCATAATATTAAGCTCAAATAACAAAAAAGCGCTTCATTCCTACTGTTTGTAGAAAACATGAGGCCTAAAAAGAAGATCATTGAAGTAACAGAGGCTAAAGGAGAGTATAGGTGCAGAGAGTTTTGGCAGTGAAAACAATGAGCCTGAAAAAAAAAAGAAAACATTACTTTCTACAAAACGTTATCAGTCTGAACAGACGCTATTTGAAGGCGGTCAGAGTCAAGTATGCTAACTGGATTTTCAAACAGGATGAGTCATTTTTAGGGCCATTAATATCTCCAATTACACTTGCAAACATGATAGGAATGTGACTGCTGTCAGAGGCAGGAAGAAATTGTCACTGCCATCACCAATGTCCTCTAAAAGCATGGACCACTGCCCATGGCTGAAGGCTGCCTCATCTTACATGTGAGGCACGTCACATACATTCATGGTCTCGGAACAAGTCTCACATTCTCATGCCCATTCACACAACAGCTTCTGAAAAGGCTTCCATCTGGGTTAGAGATGCCTTTGTCAGAAGCCACTTACCCTAGGAAGTACTGGATGTCGTTGTTATTTAGCTCCAAGAACTTCTCATATCTCTTGGCATAGGCATGGAGAGGGATCATTGCTGTTTGAATGGCAGAGCACATAGTCTCACGTAGTTTTTCCACATTTGGTTCGTGCAAGCCCACTGAATCCAGCAAGGGTGTGCCTGTGATAGATATGTTCTCCAGCACATACTGGAAGAGGAAGGAGAGAAGTCTTTCAGGACCAGCAGAGTTAACCTTGCCTGCAAGGGGTGAGACAATCACCCGTGGCACCTTTGGAAACTCATGCAGTCCATCCTTCTACACTGCGTCAGGAATTGTTTTATCAGTTTTAAGTTGCCCCCGTCAAAGGAGGCTCTAGGGAGGTGGGTCTTTCACCATAACAGGCAGGATGCATATGCAGGAGAGATCCGCACCAGACTGACAGCATTGGAAAAGGTGCTATTTCCTTTATGAATCTGCTTTTACCAGCTGCCATTCACTTAGGGTAACCAGGTTACTTAGGACATGTCTCCACAGAACCTGCAGCACCAAAGCAGAGATAGCAACCACTTAAAATAGCTACAGGGTTGGGGAGCTTGCAGAAATCCTGTCAGAACAGAACAGCATTAGCACAGTGCTATGCCCGAAATAATTTAAGTGGATTTCCAACTACCTACTTCTACAGTTCTCTCCCTCAGTACAAGCTCAGGGGTGTCTATGCCAAGCTGCAGTGCACTGAAGCTTGCACAGCTGTATCACTGGGGATGCAGTTCACCTTCTCCAGCTGCGGGACAGTGTGTGTTGCCAGGATTCCCTCATCGAACAGAGAAACGAGGGACTTCTCAAAGCTCTCTGCAGGGGGGCTGAAGTGAATGCCACTGGTGTCTAGCACGAGGTCTGTTAGAAAGAGTGGGTTCCTTAGAGGCCTGCAGTGGGAAGAGACGAGGAAGAACAGGGATGTGTTTTGAGACAATGGCACACAACTGTATTGCTCTGATGCTGATACTAAAATGCCTATTGGACAGGAAAGCAGAGGAGAGGTGGACTGTCCCATGCAGATAAGGTATCAAACACTACATTCTGAATTTACCAGTAAAGACATTTAGAACTTTTGTCTCTGAAAGGCAAAAGAAGTGTCAATCATGACATACCAAGACCCCCAAGCCTTATCTTGAGAATTGGAGCTGCTTAATAGGAAAAAAAAAAAAAAAAAGAAAAAAAACAAAACAAAACCCAGATGCTCTTCAAACCAAGCATCCAGCATCTCAAATATACTCCTAAAATGCATCTTCTGGAGGTTATACACAGTATCTCCCAATCTTGTACATTACCAGTGTGGCTCAGGATCAGCTCAAGTCAGTGTCAAGACTTCCACTGATTTCAAGGTAAGAGCTCTCATGTGAGTTGCAGCTTTTTTTCTTTTCTTCCTGTTTTCCATTTCTAAACCTTCCTTTTTTTCATACCATAAAGAACAGAAATCCTTATATAAGTACCCTGTGGAACAGAATTCTAGGCACTGTGACAACCCAAATCTGGTATTCTTTAGAAATCTCAGGCTAGATGCTACTCCTGAAACTTAATCCAAGAATGGAAATAAGCAGCAGTGCCTCCTGGTATTTTCCTGGCCTCCAGGAAAAAAAAGCTACTAGTAATTATTTGCTCCTCTGAGAAAGCTGGAAGTGGCTGATATTCAGAACACTATGTCAAAGTAGCAGACCTTGGTTCTGGTGGGCTGCCTCACATCACTAGCAGCAGCTTGAGATCTGTGCTAACAGAGCAGCCAGCTTGGTGTCATTCTTCCACACTCAACCAAATGTGTCAGGTTGAGGACTAGAGAAAAGAGCCCAGCCTAAGGCCCCCACACAGTGCAAAGCTTGCTTGTACAAACAATAGTTAGAAAGACAATGGCTCTGTTTTTCCACCCCTTTTTTCTCTCTCTTCCTTACCTGTAGGGACTATTGATGAGGTCATCTCCCCACTCCATGTCCTTCAAGCAATTCAGGGCACCATGACAAGCATCCACCACAAGCTGGGTGAAGTTGATCAGTGAGTTCTGGACCAGATACCTCAGAGAGTCCTGAAGCATGAATCTGATGCGGTTCATCAGCTTACGCAGTTTGGACAGCAGGTACACATCCCAGTTGCTCTGTTCCAGTTTGTACCAGTCTGTCCCTGCTTCTCTCAAGTTGCTCATTATTGCAGTTGTTAGAGTATCAATCCAAGTATCCTTGAGAAACATCTGAACCTAGGGCAGAGAAATAAAGCAAGCTGTGCAATCCTCCAAGGATGATGTGAAGGCAGTATTGCAAGGTTAGTTGCTAGCTAGGGCTGCTGGACCTTTCTCTGCTGTGAAAGGCAACTGTTCTTTCAGAGCTGTGGCAGCTAACCAGTAGCTTTCAAATCCATGCACACAAATGTGGCATCTGAACCTGGCCATACAACTCCTTCACTGACAAAAGACGCACAAAAAAAGCACCCGATATTAAAAAGCATGCGTGCTCTATTCTTTCTTTTTATACAAAGTTATTCCTTTTTGTTCTCTTTTCTATAGAGCAGTATCCCTAGAGCTGCCTGTGTCAAGTCCCTCATAAAAAGTTGTGTAGACAGTATGATGAGCATGTAAACGACAGAATGTTGTTTTCTCTTGACAAGTGAGGAGAAAGGGGGGGGAGAAGCCAAGGGCAGCAGCAGTCTGCAGTGTTTTAATTTATAAAAATACCACCAAGTGTCACTTGTGCTCCACAGGCAGCTGCTTTTTGTGGGTAATAGAACAACCTCAGTCACCGAGTGGATGACAGCACTGCCCAGCTGTAGCAGCATGGGACTGGGAAGGAGCAGCTCATGCCCTCTTGCCACTGATTTAGTGTGCAACCCTGTGCAAGCTCCTCTGTGTGGCCACATCCAGGGTGCAACGGACTGTCCTCATTTAGAGGGCAAAAAGATCTTCTGGCAAGAGTTACCACAGAGTTGCAAATTTTTGTTCTAGTCTGTTCGCTGGCATTGCAAGTAGAGTAATTTAATTAAATACATAAAGAACATAGGGTGTAGAAAAGCATTACCCCCATGAGTGCTTCAGGGGGAATCAAAGCTCTTGTCCCTTGCAGCTGGACAAAAAAATTGAAACTTTTGAGTGCCCACCAGGACTGCTAGCTGCATGGAAACAAGGAGGAGGAAAGAGAGGCTGCAACCCTATGCGGCCACTTGTTCAGTGCCTGACCTAGTGCATGGTCAGCATTGGCTGATGCTGACTAGGGGGCTATGTCTCTTTCAGCCGATCAATCCCCACATCCCAGTGAATTTGACATACATACGCAAATTCCTCCCTGCTCCACCCACAGTCTCTCATTTGAAAGCTCATCCATTTCCATCCAGGGAATTGCTCTACAGCTGCTACATCTATCTAATACATACTGATGGCCCTGCTGGCTGCTCCATGTGTTCACCCCACACTTCCTCTGCTCACCTCGGTGAAGGTTTGGGTCTGGATCTGTTCAAACTCCTCCAAGCAGACATACTTGGCCAAGGCTGTGTTAAACAGAGATGTGATGGCTACCTTGTTGCACTCGTCTTGCACCTGTGTAAGGAGAAGGATGACTTCTGGCCTCTTCAGGAGTGAGACAAAGTTGAAATCTTCCTCTTGTTTCTTAAAAGGATAGTCTGGGATACAGATGAGCCCTGGCACCAAAAAAAGAATATTATAGCCTGCAACTGCCATCCCAGCTTCTGTTTCAGAGGAAGAGTACAGCTCCCTTTGGGACAGTGCTTGTGAAAAGGACTCTCCTCTGATGGTCTAGGCCTTACCATATAGCATTTTCAACAGATGACTGAATGAAAGGGAGTCTGCTCTCCAGCAGAGACCTTCTGCGGCCTCCCATCAGGGGCTGAGGGACTGTCTTGATGCCTGACCTTCCTGAGGCTTTGGACATGATAAAGAACACAGGACTTGAAGAATCTTTCCACTTAGTCTTCAAGGCACAGTCGAGGCATCTCATCTGTGAGAGGCCACCTGTGAACCACCTCAAGGCATTCCAACCTTTGGGAGACTGAAGTGCACAAAATACCACCCTGACCCGCCATCATCTACTGTAGCCATTATCCTCCAGTTTGTGACTCTGGAAGAGCCTGAGCTCTCTTTCACATGAGGTATGCTACAGCTGAGCACAGCAAATGGAAGGTGGCCAGCCCCAGCACAGTGCAGAGCAGAAGGCAGTTAAGCTAATTACACTGCCTGCATTTCGTGCCATTAAGGGTACACCTGCAGAGTTATTGCAGCTTAGCTGATGGATGGTAATGTGTTATACTGAGGTAACACAAACATGCAAATACACCCTAAAATAGAGCAGACATACTCAAGTCTCATCTAATCACCTGACACTGCCCCTTATGAGCCCTAACCATTAACATGAACCTAAAAGTTTCTACCACGAAGCGTGAATCCTATCGAAGACAAGGGGTTCCATAGCCATGCTGAATTCCAACTGCTTCACTGTGTCCCATACCTTTCTCTGGTACTTCCTCCTCCTCTTTGTCTGGCAAGGTAACATAAGAAAACGTCTCAGGTTTGGAAGTGACAATTCTGTCAAAGTTAATCTTGTTTATGGTATGTTCATAGTTTAATTTAACTTCTTTCTCCAGGCAACACATATGGTCCAATATCCTGTTACAACACATGGAAACAATGATAACTCAAGGTGTTTGAGCAGAAGCATGTCTGTAGCTTTACTGCAAATCCCACCCCTCACTCCCTCCCTCCTGGATTTGCTAACCCTGAAGCTCACCTGCTACTGAATGCATTAGGAGAGCTGTGCAGACAACGAAGCAGCCAGCAAAGTTATCAACTGGACATGTAATGACAGAGGCAAGTGGGGAGCTGGGAACTATTGACTGAAGCCTTCTCAAGGGTCTTTTCAACTCAAAGCAAAATCTCCACTGGGGAGAAGCACTACAATGGGAAGGGGAAATAAGCAAGAACTAGGGAAGCTAGCTGGTAGTTCTGGAAAAGCTGGGCTATCCAAACTGTCCTCCCAACTGCCTTCTGCTGAACACCTCTTGACATCAGCTTCCTCAGCCAGAACATGTGTATAAGTGCTGAATACCTCCTTTGTTTGCCCCAGGAAATCATCATCCTTCACCTCAAGCACAGTTCTCTTCTCTAAGCCTATATTTCTGCTCAGAGGCTAATTAGTCTCCTAGTCTCTAGCTTAGGCTGGCAGACCATAGAGCCCTTCACACCTTCCTGTCTCTTAGCAGGGCAATCAGTCATGGCTGATGCCCAGTGACACCACCAATGGCTCATGATTCATCAGCACAGAGACTCTTACAACAGCTTCCTGATATGAACTGTATCTCAAAGAGACACTTGATTATATCCAGGTGGAAATATCCTGTTCTATCTGCTTCATCCTGTGAAGATCATCTTTTGATTTGTTGTAGCAGCTACTAATAGGTAGAAGAGTCACCAGCAGTCAACTCTCTAGAGACAGTTGTTTGTCTCCACATCAATCCAGCAATGACTGATCTGTTCCCTGAAAGCACAGGGAGACAGCAAGGTCAACCATGCCATTTCTGTCCAACCTTCCTACTGTTGAATGCCACTTAACTACAGGTCTAAGCATGGCTTGCGGATCTGCATATGAAAAATACATTTACTTCACCTGGGAATAATGACAGATCACCCATCCTGTACATGTGCTCCTGGGGCTCTTGTCCTACCTACTTCTCATGACACTCTGGACAAGAGGGTGGTGTGCATGTGCACAGGCTGGAAGGCAGATGAGATCCATGGTCTATGACCTGGATACTCAAGATTTGCCTCCATTGCCACTTGTTTTGTAGCCCTATGAAGTCCTACAGTGTTAATGGACTGAAGGCTGACATGCCAGACATGTACTTGATGTATTACCTCTTGTCTTCTTTCCTCAGTTTGGGAGTTTGCATAGCCAACACATTCATTCTCTGCAGGCTCTTCTCACTGATGCTATTTAGACCATCTGTGGGCATACAGTCCACATACAAGTGATACAGAAGCAGCGCCTGTGTCTTCTTACGCAAGTTGTCAGCAGAAACTACTCTCTGTGCAAACACTCGGGGATCTTCAGACAGAAACAACAGGCAAACACGTGGCATCCAGTACTGACATGGCAACAATGGGGCTCTTCCTGGGAAATGAAAGCAAAGCTTACAAGAGTCTACAGGGAAAACAAAACTCAGAATGGCTTGGATTGCAGACAGCAGCTTTTTGATGGACAGTATAATTGGGCTGGCTTACTAGAGATCAAAATGAGGGGCCAAAGTCGAAGACAGCATGAGGCAAGGAGCACAGAATTACCACTATCTCCAAACCTTTGAAGAGGGGGTACTTCATCTTAATCTGTCCACATTCCCCTTTGAGATAGCACTGGCCTAGAAAGACCATCATTTAACTTTTCTTGCAGGCAGAAAAGATGGAAGACAGAGAAAAAAGAAAGATCTCTCCAAAGGGAAGGCCTCAAATAGGTTGTCAAATTAAGGTGTGGAGTCCTCTCCCCTGGCAGTTTTTTTCTGGACACATTGACCAGTCATGTGTCAAGAGTGGTAACAGGGAAAGGAACTAAAATGATTTCTTGACGTCCTTCCCCTGTCCACCTAGGACCAGTGTGGGTAATGAACTGGCTCTCAGAGTATATGCCAGGTCCCAAAAGGCCCTACTTGAAACACACCTTCTGGAGTTACTCCTCCATTGAGGATGGGTCTCCCCTCTTCATTCCGCACCATCCCATTCTTATCTGTTTTATGGACCAAGTAGAGCTTTGTCTCCTTGTCATAATCCAGAACACCAACATCAATCCACTGGTAGATTAGTTTTGGGTTTTTAGGGTCCTCTGAGAGAATCAAGGATAAAAACAGGGTTAGTCCATTCTCCTGGAGGCTACAGCAAAAGGACTTTCCTGATCAGAGTGGTGACGCTACATTTACTAGTTTGAATCTTGGTCAATCTCTTGTGATTTTTGCTGTGCTCAAGTAAATAATGAACTCAGATCTTACATCTTAGCATTGCCAACTGTTTGTAGACACCAGAGCCCTTTGTTTTCCTCCTCTTACCTCTGTGGGTTCCTTGTGGACCATCTTCCCGCCTCCT